TTGAAATTGCTTGCTGCAAACAAGAAAACATGGGTATGTGGATACATTTGAGAAGATACTATATTAAATTAATATGGCAAAAAGATTAATCTGAGAAAATTGAAGGTATACAACTTGAGTCAGGTGAAAGATTTATACAATCTGAAGAGAAACCAAGTCCTAAATGGATAATTTATATTGAGGGAGCAGGAAGTCTGATTTACACAAAGCTGTACATTGGATAAGATCCTGAAGAACAGGAATCTCTGAATAGTTGACGCTGATGTTCTGAATGGATGACATGCCCCTTAGGAGGTAACCCACAAGGGGGAATTGAGACCTTGGGCTGAAAAAATGTTTCTTGCTTCTGGACTAGATTGTTTGTTTGTTTTTGCAGGTATGTTGAAAAATACTGCTGAAAAGGTGGCATTTTTAGAACTGCTTAAAAACAGAAGCAGCTCAGTTTTTCTTTTATAAGTCGTTAGTATATGATTACCATATTTGTCATTATATTGAATCAAACTAGGCAACGACATTATGGATTGGTTGGTAACTTGTAATTTGTTCTCAGTATTTTTTGTTGCATCTGCTTGATTCACTTATTTGCCTTAATTGGAATTACCTTTTGGGCCCCATATCTCAGATTGACTTTTCCTGCTTATTTTATTCTTTGTTTATGAAATGCCATACAGTAATCTGGATAAAGTTAATGGACCTTTTGAAGATTGCTGTGTGCAGGACACTGTTTTGGGCAAGGATTATGCTTTGTGACCTTTAGTTTTCAGTAGCTCTGAATCTCCGCTTCTGACCAAAAAGATCTGTTTTCAGAACCAATTAAGGTGTGTTTTTCCCATCTCCCTGTCATTCATTTATGACAGAAAAACTGCCCATATAGTTTCCTATATAACTATGCATTTCGTTTGTTATATTATAGGGCAGTTGCCCTATAAGATGCCAGTTCCATTATCCTACCATATAACTGGCAATGAGATTGCAGAAAGACTTTTAAGTAGCAATAGCTGAGTCATTTCCACCTCATCCTCACAGTGCCTCTTCTCTTATCATTTTATCTGTTGCTATTTCAGTAGCATCACTGCTTACAGCTGTACAAATGCATTTGGGGTGCACACCTGTCACAGTGATACACATTGTGACAATGTATTTCTTGAACTTTCCAATTTTTCCATCATCTGTTTTTTTAAAATAAAAATATATAATGGGATAAGGTCACTACAGCAAAATTTTAAAAATAGTATTTTTTATTTCTTTTTACTATTATCAGTATTTAGCAGTTATGTGGCTTTTCCAAAGAAATAATATGCAGCCCTATTTAAAACCTCTTATTAAAGAAGATTGATAATAGCTGTGTTGTTGTGACATGACTATACGGTCAAAACCCCGTAGAGTTAGTTTTCTGTATTTAGACGACTATTAAAGAACAGAGAGCAATGGAATCGGTCAGCTGGGGAAGTTGCCAGGTGCCTGGGAATCTCCTTCACAGGCATTTTTAGGGAGAGGCTAGGTAAACATATGTCCAAAATGGTTAAGTCTGAACCACAGTACAAGCAATGAGGTGGGAGAGCAGAAACATCGCTTTGCATTCAGATTGACTTTCAGGAATTATACCAGCATGTTTCCAGCTTTCCTCAGCAGTGATAAAGTTCAGAAGTTCATTTTAAAATATCAGTAACTAGTACAATTTGGGAATTGCACATAATATTTTCAGTTAACATTCTGTCAGTGAAATCGGAGAGATGATGTATAAAGAAATATAAAAAGATAACAATATTATACCCAAACTAGGACATACTATGAGAACTGGAAATAAGGTTAGAAAAAATAAAGATAAATAAAATAAACATTTTGAAGTGAGAGAAGGCTGCCCAGTACAGTGCTATTTTTATGAAAAAGAAGCCCTGGAAAGTTGTGCATGATGCTGGCCTGCTGGCCGGACACCGTGGTAAGAGAAGATAGTTTTTCTATCTAAGGAACTATTAGGGCTAGTAGCTGCTTCCAAAGCATCTTTGCTGATGAATAGGAATAAAAAATTAAAAAGAGTCTAAAGAGCTTATATTACAAATACATTTCCTGTTTAGGTAAATGTTTTCCTTCATCCCAAACTTTTAAAGTTCTTATAGACGTGTGTGTTTGTGTGTGTTACTTGAATCTTCCTTAAGTCCATGGTTCTGTGTCAGGGATGGAAGAGAGTGATAGCTTCTACAAGGATGAGACATGGCAATCACAGAGATAATTGTAACTGGAGGAAAGGTTGTTGTTGTTGTTGTTCAGTCGTTAAGTCGTGTCCGACTCTTCGTGACCCCATGAACCATATTGCGCCAGGCCTTCCTGTCCTTCACTGCCTCCCTGAGTTTGCTCAGTTTCACGCTCATTGCTTCAGTGATGCTATCTAACCATCTCATCCTCTGCCGTCCTCTTCTCCTTTTGCCTTCAATCTTTCCCAGCATCAGGGTCTTTTCCAAAGACTCCTCTCTTCGCATTAGGTGACCAAAGTATCTGAGCTTGAGCTTCATTATCAGTCCTTCCAATGAGCAATCAGGGTTGAGGAGGAAAAATACCAGAATAAAAAGAAAGCTAAACTTCAATGTGCAAAAATGTTTTTAGCAGTTTGATTTCCTGTGGGGTTTTATTTGTTGGTTTCCCATGTTTCACACCCCTATGCCCAGGGAAACAATTTACATTTACTGTAAGAAATTAATATACATTTTGCTACCAAACAATGTTCATGGTTCTAGAAAAGCTATTTTCTCCATATTTCACCATTAGTCTTCTAAATAAATCTGATTTGCTTTGGAGATTTCTGAAAACTGAGTATTTTCTCCCACAATAGTCATATATTAGAAATAAGGTAAAGAAAAGCTTTCACCTTTATTTTTTTGGGAGGGGGGGGGTCTACTTATTCAGTTGCTAAGAGACATTCAAGCTCAAGTCAAAGGTTTCCTAATTAAATGGAGAACCAGTATTCCTATCTATTTTCTCCCAATTTGTGCAACTGATCCCATAGTAATATGCTGTTGCATGACAACAAGGAAGTTTTCTTTATATTTATCTGCTAGCATTGGAAATAGCCAGGTGGTCCATCATCTGTGAAGAATGGGACTTCATAAAGCTCACTTTGATGTGTTGGAGAATCTTAAAACTTAATCTTAGGAACATTTTACAATGTCACATATAAATGTATTCCAATATTCTATTGGCCAATTTTGATTCTGTAAGAAAAAATGGTTGCATGATTCTTATGTATGGTTTATGCACGTATGTTGGATCGGTATCAATAATGCCTTCAATATGGCAGATATTTATTGTAGACTTAGACTGCTTTACAATTAGTAACTTTGCTTTTTGCAATTCTTTTTTACAATCTTCTTTTGAAGGAAGGATTTTCAAGCCAACTTGCTGGGGTTTTTTTTCAAGAATTGCTCCGATATATAATTAGATGAAAATCATGTGTTAAAATGGTTTTGCCAAAATTTCAATAGTTTACACTCTGAATCCTGTGCAACTAAATACATCTATAGTTAAAACATCATTGGTGAGCTTTTTTAATTAGATGGTTAATTTGGGATATATGTAACTTGACACTACAAAGTTGAACAGACAGGTTTTTATTTCTGTAGAGAAAGGCATATGTGATCTGGATTTGTTATTTTTAACATGGATACAGCAATTAAGAAAATGGTCTTCTTTGCCATTTATTAGTTTTTCCTGAGTCATAACAATTGCCTAAATTATATTAAGGAATTTGCTTTCGCTAAGCATTATCTATTTGGACAACTGCATGCATAAGAATACATAGACTTCCAGTATACCTAGCAGTTGTTGAAGTGATAACTCTGTTGCAAGAGATAATGTATCTGCTAATAAATGTCAACTACAAGCCTGGAATTCCTCTGGCAAACAGATGCAAGTGGAGTTGTCACTGTAACCAAAGCTGCTTGTCCAGGCATGTGCTGTCTTTAAGGCCTATCAAGAGGCAACTGCCTTTCTTTCTCAAATAAAGGGTCATGCATAATTCCCTTACCCGTGAGATTTCCGTATACCCATTAAAGGTTGATGAGGCTCTATGGTGGTAGACAGCTGTAGTGTGTAGTGTTACTTCCCATGATTTATAAGCCTTTTCCACATTTTTGGGTGACTAAGAATAGTTCTCAGGTTGTGATAACTAGAACTTTAATAGCCATTTGGCAAGGTAAATTTTGCTTTAATTCTTTTGAGAAGATAGTCAAAATACCATTTATTCTCAACACTTGTATTGCTGATAAAATGTTTATTGAATTCACTGGATCCAGTACCCTGATATTAAACAATCTGCTCATCTGTCTGCAGCACTATGCCAAATAAGCCAAGTGTAGCCTAGTCCACCCAATGTTAATCTTACTTAACCTATGCTGATCAGATATGAATGTGCACAGTATTGACTGAATGGTGTTTTAAAGTACCAGATACGACTTTCTGTTTTTATGTCATTTTGAGAAAACTTGTGTTTTTGCTAGAGAGTCTTGAGAGTAGAGACAGGTACAAAAGTTTAAGAATGATGTAATTATCATATCAAGAGCATGAATATTTTTCTGATACCAGTAGGTATGGATAGGCTTTCCAATTTTTGTGTGGTTCAGCTTGAACTGGGAAGAGCTGATGTATATCAGACAAATTTTGGGTAATACATCTTCTGTCGCTAAGAGACACATCTTCCTTTCTCCAAGTTCTTTGGATAGTTTTCCTATCAAGTTTCAAATGTTAATGAAAATGGTATTCAAATAAATGCATACCCATCTAATTGGCTCAGTAAATTGCGCCTATCTATCTATCTATCTATCTATCTTGAACAGAAGTTGTGAAGGCAGTACATTACTGAATTAATAATTTCTGCTATGATTTCTCTTTAGAGAAATACCACTATCTTTAGCTAGGGCCTGGCCCTAAAACTATTTAAAGTATTTAGGTAAATTATTTTTTTTGTTTTATATAAATAAAATGCAACTATTTTTCTCCCTGTTTTTCAGTGTCGTCCATCCAGAGGCCGGAAGAGAGGCTATTGCTGGTGTGTGGATAAATATGGGCAGCCACTCCCTGGATATGATGGGAAAGGGAAAGGAGATGTCCATTGTTACAATTTAGAAAACAAATGAGAAGAGGCCACCATCTTCCATGGAGTCTGTGTGTGGCATCTTGACCAGTCAGAGGCCTTGGAGTGACTGGGCTATAGCGTGGAATGCGTTGGACTTGGGAATTCTGAGTTTTGACCCCTATCTATATTGGGGAGAGTCAATGACTCTGTGGATTCTGCAGCTGCATCCTGCCACTGATTCACTTTCAACTTTCCATAGATGTACACAGGGAACTCTGAAATCCCAGATAAATCTGCACTATTGATCCCCAGAATGAATAAGAAAGGAAAAAAAAAGGCACTACAGAATGGATTCAGGGAGCCTCCACTGACTTTGGTTTTTCTTTTTGTTTTTAAATAACGGCCTGTGACCAATTTGATCCCGAAAGATAACTGTGTTTTTATTTTGAAGAATTTACAGACTGTAAGTATTGTGAAGATATTTAACACATTGGGCATGACACAACCCAAGCTAAGCACTTTTAAAGTCACATCAATTATCCATGTGTTTAAATATCTTCCATTGAAATAAAAGGAACTTAAGTTGCAATCCTTTATGCACTTAGCTTGAGAATAAGCCCCATAAAACTCAGTGGGACTTATAGCTGATAAATATATAGGATTGTGCTGTTAATAGTGCTTATGTTGGGCTGAATCACACTCAAAGTTTTAAACTAAGCTGTTTTGTTTTTATACAGGTCTGACGGGAACTTTATTTTCACGGGTAAAACATGTTTTATTAAAAGAAAAAGCTCAAAGAACTTTTAAAAGATACATGTTTCTACATGGTTATTTTTCCTGTAAAAATATACTGTATTATGACTATTCTGTTAGTCTGTATTTAATATAATTGTTTTTTAATAAACTATTTAAATGTAACATATAAATATCCAAATGATACCCAATCATTGTAGTGTATGTTTCCAAATTCTCTTTCCCAGGAGACTTACCAAGGCCTGTGCATGTTAAACAAACACTGTAAAGGTGGATCATCCACTGTTTGTGAAGTGGACCAATCAATATTTACAAGATCCTAGAGACAGAAAGAAGCAATATTTTTCAATAGATAATGTGCAACGGTTTCCATTCTTCATGATCATTAAATCTTAATTAGCATTATTCATGAATCCTTGTCCAAGACTGGCAGATTTCAAAATTACATCTCTTGGGGCTAGTCTGAACCAATTTCATCCAAATATTGATAAAATCAGTTGAGTAGCCATTAGGCAAAATAGAAATAGTAGATGAGAGAAGGATTTGATTAACTTGATAACAAATACATACCAAGTACTTTACTAGACTCTTAAATAGAGCGTAGGCACTGAATTAAAGGACATGTGAAAAATGCCTCTCAAAGTGACATCTGATCTACAAAAGCTTATGCTATAATAAATTTGTGAATTTTTAAGGTGCCATGAGATTCTGTTGTCTTTGTCTGAGCAGATATCTAAACAGTCTGTTTAAAAGGTTTAAATATTTTATGCTTGTTTCCAGTATACATGTTCAGTGGCTTCCTAAATTCTTGACATTGCATCCTGAGGAAACAGGATGCAGATAAGGAAGATTTCATGTAAAACACTGGACTGTAACAAACTTTACATAGAAAAGGATTGTGTGTTTCACATGTATGGGTACTTATTGGTATTTTTAAGAGAAAATACTAAGCAAACAATGCCATACCTCTGTCTTAAAATGAATTATAGAAACTGTAACATCCTGTGGCAATATTTTTGGTTGACTTGTATGTTAACTGAGAGATTGTGAGACAGGAGTTAATTCAGATAGTAATAAAAATAACGGTCAGGAATTGAACTGATTAATTAATTTCTAATTTAAACTGAAATATTTTAAACTCTTTTACAATGTGAACAGGATCAAGCTCAATATCAGCTTAGGAGCGTTCTTTTTGCACTCCATCCAAAAATGTAAAAATCAAGTTCTCCTGGTTGCCAGCTGTAATTAGTGTGGGACATAATTAAGTAAAATATGTGGAATTAGTTATTTTTGGCATGCAGAAAACTGAGTGCTGTACAGATGATTTAATGCTGCTTTCGGGGCTTTCATTGGCTCTCTTAGTGAGGAAAGACTTAATGTTTTAGAACTTAATTCTAAAATTCCCAATGAAAATAGAAAATATTCAAGATTATATCTGATTACAATACTGATAATCATTTTTAGTTAGTTCTGGAAAATATATTAATAGCAAATACCATATTATGTTTAATGTGCCATATTAGCAATGCATAGGTATTCTCAGAGTTCCATTTCATTCAACACAGAGCAAAGTGAAATAGGAATTAGGTGATGAAAATTTAAGGGTAGCATCTAATGATGATGGGGGAGCAATTTGTAAGTTCTGCTGTTAGCAGGAGTTTCACAAATAGGAAACTACCCTAGCAGGGGAAAGACTGGTATTAGAATTTGCTCCAAATATGCTAGCTTTATTGACTTTCACAAAGGCTTTTTCTTAATGAGGGATCATTAAGAAGATGCTCTTCATCTGCAACTGGAAGTAATTAAATGGACTACAGTTTGAGTCACAATTAAAAAATAGGCAGCGTTAGACTATTTTAGGCTGTCAGTGGCAGATTTCAGGAATACATTCTTTTAGGGTTACTTGCCTATATAAATCTGTCATTCATATCAACTGGTAGAAGAAACTCTTGGGAAATTTCACAGGAAACAAATCCTATGATAGGGGAACCTGGCCTATACTGAGGGTTTGCTGTATAAAAGATTTATGTATGCCAAACGCACCAAGAACACAACATGGCATTTCTTGTCAGGGAAAGTGCAGAATTCAATACCTCATACCATATAACTGCTTGTCATAATGGTATTTTTCTACTCAAACTCACAAATCCACTGTGATTGTCCAAGTCCATTTGCAAAGCACCACCTATACATCGTAACTTGCCAGATACTTGGGACTCTTACTGTTTTTAATATCCCAAGCAAGCAGCAAAAGCCGGTTTATTGATATGATGATATGGCTGCTGTTCATATGTAGGAGAGGGACAAAAGGGAATTTTTTGGTGGTCATAAATTGTATAAGCCTGTGCTAAGTAATTCATATTAAATAGGAATTCAAGTAGCATATAAGCCTGGTCTGTTTGGGATTTATATGAAGGAGAGCAATAAATACATAGCTACATAAATTACCATTTAAAAAAAGGACTCAAGCTAATGCTGTCAATAGATGGATCTATTATATCTCAGCTTCCTTGAGAAAAGTACTTTTTTCATCCACACACAGTGCAATAGTCTCTGGAGCTCAAAGTATCACTTTCCATTTCTCTGGCATGCAGAGCTAGAAGGCATAATGTTAGCTATTTGTGCATGAGGAGAAGGAAGGTTCAATGCATACCAAAACCACAGAATTAATTAGTTTTTAGTACAGCCTGAACTTATGACTAAATTCCATATAAACATAAGCACAACATAATCCTTTATTAGCCTGGACCCTAAAATTAAGTAATGGTTTTATAAATCTTTTGGGAAATCATGTTTGGTATCTCTTCTTGCATTAAAAAAAAAAAAAAGCCATAGATGACTCCACAGAGATTTCTGTATTAACTATTTAAATTATATTTACAGTATGAAAAGTGCTGAGCAATCTTGTTAGATGGCAGAAGTTTTGTACAGGTAGTCCCCAGTTTAAGAACGAGTTCCGTTCACAAGATCTGTTCTTAAGTCAAATTTGTATGTAAGCCAGAATAGTATTATTGTATAATACTGTATAAGTAGTATTCCATTTTCAAAATAGCTCTTCCTATAAATTCATTTTCAATACAGGTAGTCCCCAGTTTAAGAACGAGTTCCGTTCACAAGATCTGTTCTTAAGTCAAATTTGTATGTAAGCCAGAATAGTATTATTGTATAATACTGTATAAGTAGTATTGTGTAATTAACTCAAACCATTGTGTATTTAACTCAAATACTTGTGTATTTAACTCGAATAATTGTGTATTTAACTTGAATTTTGCTACAGTAGGCTCAATTCTTAACTATGGGTCATCTGTAAACCATGTGTTCTTAACCTGGGGACTACCTGTATTGAAAATGAATTTATAGGAAGAGCTATTTTGAAAATGGAGCATTTGTACATTTGAAAGTTATCTTGGCTGCTAATAAAAAAGAGTAGGACTTGTTAATGTTCCAGAATGACAGTTACCTAGAACAGGGATCCCAATGAGGCTTTGATAGAGTTCCCTCTGAAAAAGAGATAGAAGATCAGTTGCAACCTCCCTGCGCTGGACAGTTACTGGCTTTCTCTGATCCCACCACTTGCTGCCAGATAGAATGGTACGAATATTCCAGTCCATCTGAACTCATTAGTTTTTGAGAGCAGCAGAGACAGATCAAAGATGTATGCATCAGCCTAAGTATTTGGAGTAGCATTCTTTTCCAGGATGGTTATCATGATAAAGAAGATACAATCTAGAAAAGGAAGTGTTTGGTTGCTTTGTTGTTGGATCTTAAAACTGGTTCCCAACAGAACTCAGATGGTAGAAAGGCGCCCTTGTCCCTAGCCAGTCTGAGTAGGATACCGGAGGATGACTTAAAAAAATGCAGGGGGAGGACTGTTTGCCAAATTGCTCTTTCTGCAGTCTCCACAGCGGTAATTAAGACAAAACAAAGAATTGTTGCCTTTTTGAGATGGAAGTCTTCACAAGACATTACACAGAAATCACCTTTACTGGAAGAATGTTGCCTAAAGTCAGTTGTCTTGGTTCTCAATCCATGGGATGTCCTTCTCAGTGACATCTGAATAAATCCCATCACATGAGAAGGAAGGTCAGTGCTCTGAGTTGCATCAGTTCTGCAATTCACCCATATAAGTTGCTGTTGCGATGGGGGATGGTACTAGCTACAAGGGAAATAAGAGATGCAGCAGGCAGAATCTTCATCATGATTGTAATTCTTTCATTTCTCCTTTCATGCTATTTAGTAGAGACAGATGTTCTTTATTGGAAGGAATTTAGGGAAGAGAAAACAATTGCTACCAATTCCTTTGTTTAGATTGCTGGGTTAATTCTTCACTAAATTATAAATTTCTGCATAAATGTTTAGGCTAGACAAAGTGTTTCTTTCAGAATTGCAAGTGTAGTAGGGCATTGCTTATAAAGTGGGTGCTCATCTTTTGTTCAATAGTTCTGCAGGGCTTCACCATTTTTTCAAATCCTGCTACATCTGTGTAACAAGTGATAATAAGGGACAAAAGGCTTGAATATATAGAACAGAGATAGGATGTATCATACCACTGTTTAAAATCCTATAAATTTATTGTCTGCTTCTACTCAAGTGGCCAGTTCCAATTTAAAAAATACTTTCTGATATACTGCAGCATTCAGCTAAGAAAATTGCATTTAAGTTTCCTAACGTAAACATCCTTTTGTAATGAAACTTAATGAACATCACTTTGCTTAAATGGAAAAAAAACCAAAAACACCCAGAGGACAAATATGGGGATGAAAGACAAAGGGAACTGGCAGTAAGTAAGCACAGATGCGTAAGAGTAGAAGGCTAGCAGTGGAACAGAAGATTAGAAACTGAAGGTGTCTAATAGGAAATTATCATCTGTGTTCTTAGTTACCTTCAGTTAGGCTGGAATAACAAAGAGACATGATAGATGTATGAATGCTTTTTCTAAGCCATCCCACAGAAATTCTCTTCTTAAGCCCTTCAGGTGTTTAAGTTATGTACACCTTTCTGTCAAGTAGTTCAAAGCAACGTTAACAAGGTGATCTCATTTTGTCATCAAGCTAGCCTCACAGTATCGGGGGGCATCTTGTTGGCCACCCTGTTCCTAGCTGTGCACAACCAGAAATTTCTGGGAAGTAAACAAAGAGCACTTCATTCCTACACTGGGAATCAAGAAAGTGGTAACCAGTGCTGCTTAATTCATTCCACTTGCTACCCATAGGCCTTTGAAGCAACAACCATGTAGTACATAGTCAAGTAAAAGGAGTTGGGAGAAAGAAGCATACAATTGCTTGCTTCCTGCTGTCTCTTATCCCTGGAATGCAAGATTTAGGCATTTTCTAGCGGAGATATAAAGAAATTTCGTATAGGAACTGCCTCCACTGCACCCCTATCAGCATAGCTGGGTGTGGACAGAGACACAGATTCCATCCATCTGAAATGTGGATGTGACCAAACTTTTTTTTTTTAATAAAATTTTTTATTCTTTACAACAAACACAAAACATACATAAACAAACAAGAACATACAA